CAAGGCTGTCTACTCCCATAACGCTGCACACTCGGAAACTCACAAGGGCAGTTCCACGGCATCCTTGAAGGTCGCTGTGAGTCAGAATTGACTGGGATGGCAGTGATTTTTTTTCTAGTGATAGCTATGCAGCTCTGGTGGCATAGCGGCCACGCATCGGGCTGCGGTCCACAAGGTCAGAGTTTCGAAGCCACTCCCTCGGAGAAACACAGGACTAGCCAGAAGAGAGGGGAGAAGCCCCGCCACCACCGACAGTGACCACTGTGGAGAGCCAGGCCAGTGATGGTCATTTAATGATCGTCTTGACCCTCTTTTGGAGGCAGTTGGTTTCACAGCAATAGCCAGCCAGAGCACCTCTTTACTAGCCTTCAACCTTCCTTGTCTCACCTCGGCTCCCAGGGACCACCATCCACATAAACCCTTCACCCAAGTCCTTTACCGAGACAGCCCATACCCAGAGAGCCACTGAGAGCCAGGTGACCCTGGGCAAGCTGATGGGGAGAGAACCATATTTGATCTTAAACTCTCCTGAGGCTGGCTTCTGAGCTGGGGCCCAGTGAAGAATTCAGTACCTAGCAGCATGTGGTCAGTTCAGGAGCATCTCTTTTGCTCAGAAATGAATTCTGATCCTGTTTCCAGGGTGGGTGGTCTGGGTGGGTGCCTCCCTCTGTCCTCCCACTACTGAATTGCAGAAGAGGCCGGTGACAAATGCCCACAGGAGGGCACTTGGGTGCAAACCTTAAGGCTTAAGGGAGCAAACCTCTCTTAATCCACAAGGCAAGTAAAGCCGATTCTGTTCCTAGGGAGATGGTATGGCCTGGCTCATTCTAAGCTATGCATCCCCTGGCTTCTCTCATCTTTTATTTTCCCTAGTCACATTTTCCCCAGCCCACTGACACAAGCTTAAGTAGATTGTTACATTTCAGGTCACGGTTCTGCAATCAAGGAGCTGGAGTTCCTGCTAAAATACAGTAATTAGAAGCACAATAAAGAGAGACCCAAGCAGGCCCCAGCTTTCCAAACAAGCAGGCGGGTTAATTTCCAAATTATATTTGGCCTCAACATGCAAGCGTGTCTATTTCTTTCTTTTTTCCCCACTCTCTTCTTTTTTCATACAGGCAGAGAAAATAGGGCTAAAGATCCTTACAATAACCACACAGGACTTGGATGGCAATGAGATAATAAACCATACCCTACCAGGCCAATGATTTTAATATGTCTCAAGAACAGAATACACTGTCTGGAATTCAAAACCAAGGATTACAATTAAAAAGAGAGAAAGAGAGAGCCATGTGCAGAAATTTAATTTCAAAGAAGGCAGAGTTTGTATACACCATAAAATTACAAATCCCAGAATGCAATAAATGAACCAGAGATGCAGGCAGTCACAGATTTCAGGAACGTTAGCAGCCGGCACCAACCCCAAAGGACTTCACCCTCAGGTGTTCACTCCGGTTTCAGAAGGCAGTTGGTACCTGGGGGTTCACTTCAGGTCATGCAAAGACCCCGACTCTTCCTTCCATCACAGACAAACTCACTGCAATGGTTTCTAGTAGCTTGCAAAAGGCAGCATTCCCACAGTCCAGGAAACCTGGCGTGGAAGCGTTTCCCCCTCTGCCCCACCACCACTACCACCACCACCAAGCTAGACAGTCATTCGACTTTGACTAAGGCAAGCAAAGGGGAGCTTCTTCAGACTCCAAGCACCCCCCAGGGGCCGTGAGTCCTATCTGGGCTAAAACCAAAACCAAACCAGACACCGTGACAAGGGGATGATGTCGGAAGCGGAGGATGCAATTCTAGAACGTGCCAGGACGGGTGGTGCCTTTCACGTGTTTTCTTTCCAAGGAAGGCGCAGGGGCGATGTCCAGGACCCCAGCTACAGGCTGGGGTGGGAGAGGCCCTGTATGAGACAAATGCTACTTGGGTTAGCCCTCAGCGGCCCCTCTGACTGCACACCACTGAGGTAGGAGCATCGGAGGAGAGGGAGAACGTAGGGAGGGGGTCAGAGAGCCCTCTTGTCCTGTTGGGTGGGGCACCCCAGGACAGACATCCTTGCGGGGCCATGTGTGACCTAACTAAATTCAAAAGTTGGATCCGATCACTAGCTCGGAGGAGGGCAAGGTCCAAGATGGAGTCATAGGGTGGGGGTGGGGTGGCGATGACATCTGGCCGCTGACCACTGGATAACCTGTGGAGGGGAGAGGAGAGTTGGGGAGGGTCAGGTGTCAAACCCCAGCAGGCAATCTACAAAATAGGTATTAGCAAATATTATCAAAAAGTATCAAAACATTGCAAAAAACTCTAAAAAGTGCCAACAGGCTTGGCAGATGCACCAACTGGGATCACCCGTTACCCACAGAACTACACGACGGGATGGGGAGGGCTTCATCCTGACCCTGGGACAGGCTGGTGCTGGCTGAGCCCTGAGTCGGGAGGACCAGGGTGGCGATAGGGCTGGAATTTTCTTTCCTACATTCTGCAAGACCCCAAAAGGTCACTCTGGGCCCTGGGGCTATGGTGCATGTCCTTTTGGTATCTAGGCTCCAACCCCAAACTGAGGAGTCCTTAAACTTGGCTCCTGGGGTTTCTGCTAAGTCACCTCAGGTCACTTTATCATCCGGGGGTGGAGCATTCAGAACCTAGAGAGACACAGGTGGCTCCTGGTCAGGACCAGACCGGCAGGTCTGAAATGCCAGAATGTTAGAAACTGTCAACTGCCCGGTAAGTAGGAGGATGTCGACGAGACACCACGGTGTGTCTGAAGGCACCGGCGATGACAGCGGCCAGGACCACACGTCCTCAGCTTCCCTCCCTTCCTGAAGCCAGCCAGGTTCCAAGGCAGGGGAGGGCACACCCCCAATCTCTAACTAAAATGAATGGAAAGCTCTGATCTTTCAAAAATGAAGGCAATCAAAAGCTGAAAATAAGAGCCTCCTCCCTCCCACCACCAGGATGAAAGACCGAAGGTGAGCCTGGTGATGGCAGAGAGCAGCCGGCCGGCTGGGAGCGCTGGCTGCGTGGCCACACTGGCGCACAGTCCACAGGGCTGCTTTCATCTCGAGTGTGGTCCACAGGACCCCTCGGCCCCAGCACGGCTCCACTGTGCTGCTACAGTTCCAGTGGCCAGCTGCCAAAGTGGCCACCCCTAACCTCTGCCCAAGCCCACTGTCACCGAGTTGATTCCGACTCACAGCGACCCTACAGGACAGAGTACAGCTGCCCACGTGGGTTTCCAAGGCTGTCAATCCTCCTAGCGGCAGAAAGCCTCATCTTTGTCCCGAGGAGCTGCAAACCTCATAGTTAACAGCTCCAGGTATACCCTGCTTTGCGGCCAGGGCTCCTGAAGCTCTCTCCCCAGACGGGTCCAAACCACTTTCTCTTGCTCTTTATTGGACTACACCGGGGTTTGGCTTTCTGCCTTTAAAGCATGAATAACAAACTCCAGGGGCTGGGTAACCCCACTCCCCACCCCCGGCTCCCTCTGTTCCCCAGTAACTCAGCTAAGGAGTAACACTGGCCCCTCACAGCTTCCCATGGACCCCTCCAAGCCCAGAGCCTTCCTTAGCCCCATAGAGCCATCAGGCTGACTCCACGTGGGTACATGAGATGAAACCTTTACAGGAAAGTCATCAAGCTCAGCAGCACTGGATTCTGCACGCATGGACCTGACCAACAGCCACGCAGGTGTCCATGGAGACATTGCAGACAGTGGATGCAGATCACAGCTTGTAACCCTGAGGCACAGGACAGGCAGAAAAGAGGCCAGTGTGGCACAAGTCCCCGCATCCTGGGACAAGCCCCCGTCATTAAACAATGCAAGCTGTCTGACGCTGTAAACACAGGGCTGTGTTGCTTCCCACACCACTCTTCCCAAGCTGCCCCTGGGTTCTCATTCCCCTAGGGGATCTGGGAGCCTGGATCATGTACCCCCCACCTCTCCAGAGAAGGGTCTTCAAGTAATAGACCCTTTCCTGATGAGAAACGGGTAAACTACCCCAAAGTCAGCAGGCAAAATATATTTCATGGAGTTCTGGAACTAGGTCTCTACCACCACCACCACCCCCAAAAAAGAAAAGGATTTCATGCTCAAAGGCCTTTGGCAATGCTAGGCAGGTGGAGGCTAACAGTTATCCTAAGACTTCTCAGAACCTCCCATGTGCTGACGGGGCTCTGGATCCTCAAGAAGGGTGTCTAGTCTATGTTCTATAGAAACTTGGCCAGTCAGCTAACCTCTGGGGATGTCCTCATGCAAGCAGCCAGCTAGATGGACAGGCGACTCAGCCAGCTGGCAGTCACACTGGATACTGAAGTTTTCGAACCCCGATCCTGGTTACTCAAAGCAGCCGGATGCAAATCCCAGTGAGCCCAGAGGAGAAAGGAAAGGAAACATACCAGAGAATCTTCTTAAATATGAAAGTATCTGAGCTGAAATGATTCTCAGTCCAGCATTACATCTAGTTACCTTGAAGTCTGGGCATTTCCCCCAACTTCATCAAGAACAGATCACGAACGTGGCCCACGATTAAAACCAATCCCACACCACCCTCTCACACTCCCTAAAGGGCACACATAACTGGTCCGAGAAGCAGACGCAGTCCTGGTGACTAGCAGGTCACGTATTTGGCTGCTAACGGCAAGGTCAGGAGAACGTAACCACCAGCCACTCCTTGAGAGAAAGATGAAGCTTTCTGGTCTCATGAAGAGTTACAGGGGCAGTTCTACCCTGTCCTCTAGGCTTGCTGTGAGTTGGAATCAACTGGAGGCCAGGGTTAAGAGCTGCAGATGCTGTCTTGCAGGACCTAGCGCAGGGCAACTCTTCATCCAGCAGGAGGCGCCAAACATCAATGGCTCCTCTCAAAGCACACACACCTGGAACTTGGCAATGACATCCACACCCATCACTCACTGCATGAGGGTACAGACCCACCCCCAAATCCACTGCCACTGAGCCATCGAGTTGCTCCCCACTATAGGGCAGAGTAGAACTCCTCCTTAGGGTTCCGGAGACTGTAAATCTTTCTGGGACTGGGACTGGCTGGTAGGTTTGAACAGCTGACCTTGTGGTTAGTAACCCCAGAGCTCGTTGCACAGCGCCCCAAGAGATCCTTAGAACCGTTAGGTGCTTTGCCCAGACACTGAATTCCGTGGTGGGAGACGGCTGGGAGAAGCTGCTGGAGTTGGCGGAGACACAGCTGCACAGCTTTCTCAGGCACCAGAGCTCGTGCCTCGGTTTCAGGAGTCTCAGATGACAAAGTTTCTGCAGAGCCCACCTCTTGTTCCTGAGCAACCCCCTTGGGTCTGAGGAGCTCAGCACACCTGCGAGGTGAGAACAGTGGCTTCCAACAAGAAACCACCCGCAAACCAAGGAAAACCATGGAACGCAAGCTAGCGAGTGAGGTGCGCTTCCTGCCTTTCAGCCACGATTGTTCTGAGACAAGCCACCTGTTGGGGACACCCCAGGACCAGCACCTCCCTGCCAGGAAACCCCCAGATGTGCCCAACTGTCTGGCAAGCCTGGTGACTCTGGCTCACTCCAGGACTCCCTGGGGGGCTCCGCCTCTCATTTATAAAACAGAGAAGTACTGACCTCAACGATGATGCCCGAACGAGGCTGATCCTTTACCACCCTAGGACCTGCCCTCCAGCCCACGTCCCCACTCACGGCAGCCTGCGGACCCAAACCAAACCCACCACCACCATAGAGTCCATTTGGACGCCTGGCGACCCTCTGGGGCAAAGCAACTCTCTGCTCCCTGGGGTCCCCAGGGCTGTCAATCTTGACAGGATCAGCCAGCGTCATCATTCTCCCAAGGAGCCCCTGGAGGGTCCGAACCACGTGAGCAGTCTAACATGTAACCCCCAGCGTCCCCATGGGCTCCTAGAAGGGGACCCAGAAATCTGTCGCTAAAAATGCTCAGCCAGGTTTCAGGAGGCCCCTCGTTTCAACATGAACCCCCTGCCCTCGCTGCTCACAGGGAGGACAACAGTTCGGGGCGTGGAGCGGGCTGGTTGCTACCACAGGGCTGTGAGCCGACTGCTAGGCAATGGCACTGTCATTGCGACTACGTCATCCGCGACTACGGTGTCCCAGAAAGACCAAGAGTGATGCAAGTCAAAACGGCAGCTGCGCAGTGCGTCCGTTCCCAGGGCTTGTCGGTGGCGCAGCCAGGCTCACTGGCTCCGCTCCTGGTGCCTCTTGCCCTTGCCCTTCTTCTTCTTGTCCTCCAGCTGCGGCTTCAGGGCGCAGACGCAGGCAGACACTCCGGCGATGGCCTTGGGCAAGTCAGTGCCCCGGCTCCACCTGTCCTTCTCGCAGTCATACACCTGCACGGCTTTGGAGAAGGCGGTATTCTCCCAGCTGTAGCCGCCCAGGATGTAGATGCGGCCCTGCCACACAGCCACCCCCGACTCGCTGTTGGCGTGCAGCAGGGGGGCCACGCGCGTCCACTGGTTGCACTGGGGACTGTAGGCCTCGACGCCCAGCACATCGAAGCGTTCCATGGACTCGACGTTGTCGTCGCTGCCCCCGATGGAGTAGATGCTGTCGCCCAGGCTGCACATGCTGTGCCAGCCACGCGCCGTCGTCATGGGCCGCCGCTCCTCCCACACATCCGTCCGGTGGTCATAGCACAGCAGGTTTTTACGGTAGGGGCCGATCTGGTAGTCGTGGCCTCCCGAGATGTACACAAAATCCTTGTAGATGGTGCCAGCGTGGCCGTAGGTGAACCTGCGGGGACACACAGACATGGGGAGGATGGCGGGGAGGTCCGCAGGGCTGCGCCTCGGTTATCTCCGCCTGCCAGGGCCTCGGTCATCTCCTCTGTGAAATGGGATAGCCCCTCCTCCTGGAGGGGGAAACTATGAGTCTGATGAGGCAGCACATAGAGCGGGTGAAGGCTGGGCTGGATGCCATAAGGGCCCCTTGGATACACCGCCAACGTTGGACCAAAAGTGCATGAGCAGGACCGGCCAACGCACAGCTCTACCTGGGGCTCCCATCCCAGCTGTGCCCTGCTCTGCCCAGGCCCTGCCCTATTCTGCTTGGGAATGGCTCCATTCTACCCAGGCCCCGCCCAGCTCTGCCCAGGCCCGCCCTTTTCTACCTCCCCATTCCTCTTTTGCGCTCACTAGCTCTGCTGCCCATATGGATTCATGGGGCCCCTATAGCGCATAAGAGAAGGGCACCACATGGTCTTGCGAGGGTGCCCTCTTTACCGGAGGTGATAGCCTCATCTTTCTCCTGTGGGCTGACTGGTGGGCTCAAACTGCTGACCTTTCTGTTGGCAGCCAAGCACTTAACCACTGTGCACCAAGACTCCCTCATGAATGCATTCCCTGAACTCTGCCAGTAAGCCCCCAGGAACAAACAGGCTCGTTTATGGGGGACTGGGAAATGCTACTTCTAGCAGTGGAGCTAACTTGCACTTAAAATTTTTTTTAATTACTTAAATTTTTTTAAAGTAATTGCTGTAGTGTAGATTGACTCATAGCACCCCTGGGTGGGTGTCTGGGCATAACTGTGCTCTACTGGTGTCCGCTGGCTGGGCTTGCAGTAGCAGATGGCCACGCTTTTCTTCCTCAGAGCCTTTAGGTGAGTTTGAACCACCAACCTATCAGTCAGCTGTAGGGTGCTTAACGGAATGCGCCACCCCTGACTGGCTCACACCAGAGCCCAGACTCCTCTCCAACCTGCCCTCTGCCTCTCACGTTAGACCTGCTGTGTTTTACAAGCCAGAACTTTCTGGAATTGGAGAACTCAGAGGCCAGAGAGGGAGGCAGACTGAACCGCCACCCTTAAAATATTTAAACGCTGCCACCCCACCCCGACCCTGCCAGTCACCTTGGCAAGCCAGCCACGTAGGACCAGGAGTCAGTCCTGGGACTGTAAGTCTCTACTGAAGAGAGAGCTCCGTTCTCGTTCCGGCCACCGACGGCCACCAGCATGTCTTCGATGGACGCAAGGTAGAAGTCCACTCGGCGCTGGTTCATGGAGGCCACCTGTGGGGGTGAGACACCTGTACCTTCCCTTCCCCGAATCTGGCACAGCGTCAAACACCTGGCACCACGTTCCCCAAGCATGTCCAAGGGAGCATGCAGCCCATGGCAGCAGCTCACACAGCCATGGGCATGTGGGGAAGGGCTGCTCAACTTGAGTGAGGAGGGGCCCTTCCCAGGGTGGGGGCCTTCTCAGAGACCCCAAAAGGGAGATAGAGAACACACACACATCCCCAAATCCATGGTCTACCTTGTGGGCTAGACCTGTGCAGGGCACATAGTTCAGAACTGCTAATATAGCGATTTTGCCCCCCAAAAGATTCAATGTCCCTTTCCCTCCCCGTTGTCAGACAGTTTTTCAATGATTGCTCTTTGGCAGCTGTGTTCACAGAGCGCAGGAGGGGGCTCGACAGGAGGTTTATAAGCAGAAGCACCAAGATGGGCACTAGCTCCCTGAGCAGAATTCACAAATGAGTGTGGACCCCCACTGAGGCGGCCACAGCCGGAGAGCTTTGGAGCCAAGACCACATCTCTACCTGCCCCATCTCCTGCCTGGCCAGACGGAGACCTCAGGAGGGGGACCCCAAGACCAGCTGGAATCCACTCTTAGTTTTGAGCTCAGAAAGCCACAGTGCTCAGTAAAAACAGGGGAACATGGGGATGATGAAGCAGGCGGTGTTCACTGGCAGCTGGGGGCCTGGAGGGGCCTCATGGGAGAACAGCAACATAGGCTACAATCCCACTGGCCCTTTTAGAAGGCCCCCATATCCACTTTACACAGGGGCGGGCGGGGGCGGAATGTTTAATGAAATTCACTGCCGTAGAATCTATTCCGACTCAGTGACCCTGTAGGGCAGGGTAGAACTTCCCCCGAGGTTTCTGAGGCTCTCACTCTTTATGGGAGTAGACAGCCTCGACTTTCTCCCGAGCAGCAGCTGGCGGTTTAGAACTGCTGACCCTGCAGTGAGCAGCTCAATGCATAACCACTACACCACCAAGCCTCAGAGAGGGAAGCCAGAAACCAGAGGCAAAATGAACCAATCAATAATGGTCTAAAATCCGCCAAGCTAGGATTCGACCAAGCTGGAATGGGAACTGGGGTCTGGCTCCCCGGCCCATGCTCTGCCCACAATGAAGCCACGGTATTTGCTTCTGTGCAGCCCACAGATGTACTTTCACGTTCCCTTTACCACCTACGACAAGCATCCAAAAGCTTTCCAATCACCAGGCTCCATGGAGACCTGGGACATGGACACATCCTTGCAACAAGGAGTCCCCTCGCTGGGACCTATGATGCTATCCAATAGGACAGCCACTCTCTCGGCCATTGCAGTTAAAATGTGAACTAATGGATGCAAACGAAGCTGCAGAGCCCAGAGTCGGCTGGCCGCCACGTGGATCGGCTTGGCCCTGCAATGTTGTGGCCAGCCCAGCAGGTTCTACAGGGCAGCGCTGACGACCAGGATGTGGACTAACCCCCCTGCCACCGCGCGTTTGGGAGGAGGACTGCGGGCAGGGCAGAGAGGGGCAGGGAGGGAAGGCAAGGCTAGTGTAAGGAAACGAACAAGAGTCCTCGAAAGTAAAGAAGTAAACCGGCTTTAATCTCACCTTGATCCACTGTTTACAGCGGGGGTCATACCTATAAAGAAGATTGGACGCCGCATCCCCTCCGTTGTCTCGTGAGAAGCTGCCGCCCGCGATGAAGATGAAGCCCCCCAGCACGGCGACACAGTGGTGGCTCCGCCTGGCGGGCAGCGGCGTCTCCTGGACCCACCGCTCGTTCTGAGGGTCCAGGTAGCAGGTGTCATCACTGAGCTCCAGACACCGCTCCGAGACCTCGCCGCCCACGAAGAGCAGGCGCTCCTGGTTGGTGCGCAGCGCCGTGCGCCGCGTCTGCATGACGGGCTGGGCGGCCAGGCAGTTGTGGTAGCGCACGGCCTCTTCGATGAAGCCCTCGCAGTCGGCCTCCTTGGGCAGCAGCGAGCACACGGCCGGCTTGACGCGGTGCAGCAGGTCGTTCTTGGGGATGAGCGGGAAGTGGATGTTAGCCAGCACCTGGTGCGCGTGGGCCTCGCGCTCGGGCTGCTGCGTGAGCCACTGCAGGGCGGCCTGCAGCAGGTCGTGCTCGCACTCGCGCTGCACCTGGCTGCTGCTCAGGTAGTCGCACAGCTTCTGCATGGACACGTTCTGCAGGAAGTCGGGCGTGAAGGACAGCGTGCCGAAGCGGCTGAGGATGAAGCCGTCGATGAAGGCGTCCAGCCGCTTGAGGCTGTAGATGGAGGCCAGCTCCTGCAGGTACAGGTAGTTGTCCTCGCTGACCTCCTGCTCCAGGTACTCACAGCAGAAGTCTACTGCCGTCCAGATCTGCAGCAGGTGGGCCGTCTCCAGGACGTAGTCGATGTTGCCGCCGTCCAGCGCCAGCTCGCCGCCATACAGGAAGTCCACCACGGCTTTGAGGCCCACGTAGGAGGCGCCCACCAGTTCCACCTCCTTCTGGAAGGCCTCCCGCATGCCGAGGGTGAACATGGAGTTGAAGTAGTCGCTGCACACGGCCAGCAGGTTGCGGTGAGCGGGCACGCGCTGCTCGTCGGCTACCAGGATGACGTCGCAGAAGAGGCCGCGGAGCCGCTGCTCGTTGAGCCGCTGCAGCACGGTGGACGAGTGGTCGGCCCAGTGGTACACCTGCGGCAGAGGGCGGCGTCAGGCCCGGACCCTCTTGCCCTCCCGGCCGCCCAACCACCATGCCCAGCTGGGTAGACGGAGCCAGCTGGGAAGAGAGCGAGGTGTCAGGCGCTAGAACACACCGTGGGAAATACAGGTGCTGGGTGCGCATGCGCTCTGCCCTCCCTCCCCGCCCCGATATTCCTTCCTCCTCCCCCTTCTCTCTACTTCCCAGGAGTCACAAGCAAATAGCAACGCAAACTCACTGCTTAGAGTGGATTCTGACTCAGAGTGACCCTACAGGACACAGCCCTGAGCAGGGGCAGCCTGGCCCTGCACACAGTGCACAGCTGGCCTCCCGAAAGCCAGACACACATGGGCACCCACCTGCTGGTGCCTTCAGAGCTGGTGAAGCCATGGCAGAGCACAAGGAGTAGGGGCCGGTGAGGCCTGCTTCTTTAGGGGGGGGGGAGGCTTTAGTAGCATTCAGCAGCTGACCACAAGGTTGGAAGAAGTTTGAGTCCACTCAGAGGCAAGTAGGAGTAAAGGCCTGGCAGTCCACTGAAATATCAGTCACTGACAACCCTTCAGTTACCAGGTGAACAGCTACAGCAGAGAGGAACAACCCCACCCACCCACCCAAGGACAACCAGCGCCAGGAGACCAAAGGGCCCTGTTTACCCAGGGAGGTGCTCAGAAGGCCGGACCAACTAGGAGGAGCGTTTAAACCTGGGGGGCTCCCTTACAAGTGAGACACTTTCTGATTGTTTGTATAAAAAGTAAGATTTCAGAAAGAGACATGCAATCCGCCCAGGGCCAAAGAGCCTGCTGCTCAGTGAAAGCCCAGATTCAGACAGGAGCAGCCTTGGAGTCAGACCTGCAGGCCAGAGACCCCGGGCGCCATCAAAGGCAGAAAGGGACACTGTCCCCACAGCCCAGCTTGGGAACAAAGCCCCTTTGAGAGAGCCAAGAGGCCTTCCTGCCTCTGCACAGAAGATAAAGCCAGGCTTGGCAAGTGCCTCCTCGGTGCTTGCAGCCGGGAACAGGAAACGGTTTCTCAGGAGGAGCCACCCGCTCATGAGCAAGACCGCCCCCCAGTCTACTCATGCACAGCTGGGGCTCTCTTCAGGCTCTTTTAACAAATCTAGGGGACGCACATGAACCCTCTTATCCAAAGCCTCGGCTTCCACAGGTCTTTTCATTACCGTACCCCCAAGGAGCCTATGGGGGAAGCCATGGTGATGCCCAGGTGAAGCACTCAGCCAAAGGTCCGTGGTTTGAACCCAGCAGCTGCTCCACGGGAGGAAGAGCCGCAGAGACCTACAGCCTCAGAAACCCTCCACTACCAGGACAGTTCTCCTCTGGCCTACAGGGCCGCGGAACCAGGACCAACACAAACGCAGCAAGTCTGCAAAGAGCTTACATAGGCAGTTTCCTTTTTGTGTAGATAACCCCCACGTATGTCCCCATCATGGTAGCTATACTGGGCAGCTGCGTATCTGATGCATGCATATATAACTGTGCTTCATACATAAAAAGAGACATCCCTACTCTGCCCCCACCCCCCCCTTAAATCATCACCACCTCGGGACACTGTCCCTTCCACCTGTTCTACAGGTGTCGCAAAGGGTTAATGCAGTCGCTGTCATTAATAGCCCTATGGTGAACACCACTCCCTGGAATGAGCAGCCACCAAAGATCAAAAGGACAGCGTCTTCCCGGGCTGAAGCTCAGCACACACATTTTGGGCATGTTATCAGGAGAGACAGGCCCCTGGAGAAGGGATTCGTTGGTTAACTAGAGAGGCAGCGATCAAGAGGAAGACCCTCGACGTGATGGATGGACACAGCCGGAGGCTCCAACATGACGACTGTAAGGGTGGCGCAGGACCGGGGGTGCTTCCCTCTGCTGCCCGTCAGGTCTCTGTGAGTCTGAACTGACTTGGTGGCCCTAAACAACAAAGTTCAGAAGAGGAGCCCTGGTGGCAGAGTGGGTTCCAAGTCAGTGCTGCTAACGGCCGGGTCAGCGGTTCAAAACTCCTTAGGAGATGAGGCTCCCTACTCCCATAAAGAGTTACAGTCTCAGAAACCCACAGGGGCAGTTCTACCCTGTCCTAGAGGGTAGAGCTCAGAAAGCAAAAAAGGAGAGTGAAGGGAAATGACACCCGCAGGGAGGACGTGGGCAGAGCTGCTCCATCGAGGGGACAGACATCAGCATCATGGATCAAGATGCACTGTCGGAATGGCTGTGTGGAAAACCAGTGGACCCTGGAGTAGACTTTCACCCAGATTCCGATAAAAAAAAACTCTGGAGAACCTGATAAAATAGCTGCACTAAGAAATAAAAAATATCCGCACTAACCACCATCCCTCCATGGGACACACAGTCCCACTCTGACACCCACGGGTCATTTAACCAGTCTGGTGGCTGCTGGTTTCACTGGCTTAAGGGAACCACAGAGTTTAAGCTCCAGACAAGGACACTTTTAAAGTCTGTGGGGGGCATTACTATTTAGAGCAGGAAGCCAGGTGTAAAGGGGGTTGTGGGGGCTGTGCCCTGACCTCACCTTCCAGACCACCTGGGGGGCTGGCCCAGGTACAGCTCTGGGGTGGGGGCTAACGCAGCCAACATGGCACTGCTCAAACTGAAGACCCTCCCCTCCCTCCACTGACTCTTCATACCCAGGCCCCCAGCACACAGTCCCTAAGCCTTGGTAGGAGGCTAGAGATGTGGGCTCTCATTGGGCAGGTGTTTGGGAGTCCCCAAGTGGTGATGGACAGATTCTGTGCGCAGGTCTTCCTCCTCCGTCTCATTCACCTCCTGGGGTGGATGCCAGGGACCAAAGTGCTAAGTGGCTGGAATGCTACTCTGAGAAACAGAGTTGGCAGCCCGGGCAGAGTGTCCCTACAGTGTCCCCTGCACCTGCAGCTTCTGACTCCGAGCCTTCTCCTGCCCCTTGACCATCTCTTTTTCTCTATTTGCCATTAGAATATTCACACACACACATACACCCAAGCCCCTTGCATAGCCCTCAGTCTGCACGGACCAGTTACCCACAGAGCCCATATTCCCAGGTGAGACCGGAGAAGTCACAGACCTTGGAGGATTCACTGATCTTGTATGGCCGAGAGACTCGAGTCTGCCTGCCGGGCTCCATTGCGAGCGGGATCTCGGTCCTGCAACGAGAAGAGGGTTTCTGAGCGGGTCTTTCCGGAACCTTGGGCCCTGCTGGCAGATCCCAAGGGCAACAAAAGCCAAATAGCCACTGAGGGACGGGGGAGGAGGCAGCAGGCTGTCCAGGACTGTGGGTACATTGAGTCTGGAAGGTCTGGTTGTTGGAACAACGAGTGACCCTTAATGCCTGGACAGCGTCAGTCTGAGCCCACACTCTGCAAACACCTACCTCTCCACTCGGCTCCGTAGGTAGATCAAGGTCATAATGAGCCTGTGATCACCTCAGAGCCCACTCCGTGACCTTGAAACCAAGCAAGGAGACTCAGGTACATCATCTCTTTACCCCCCACAGCTCCTGGGCCCTGCCAATGCCACAAGGTACAGATGGTCAGGGGCTCCAGCTCAAGGTCACAGAGCAGCAAACCGTGGTCTGTCCAGCTCCAGCGCCCAGACCCTGATGGTGACGCTCTGTGGAAGGTGGTCCAGCCTCTGAGAGCCTCGCACTGGATAAGCAGTGTAACCAAGGCAAGGGGCGGTGATGACCAACACGCTTAAAATAACACGTGTGTTAAGAGACCCCAGCCCCTCAAATGTATACGTACTCACTCCTCGAATTCCACAACCTCCAGATGAAGCCAGCTGGGCTCCGATCCTCACATCACCATCACGGGGGAGCAGGGAGTGATGGTGATGAGGTGAAATGACCCACACAAGGTCACACCACCAGGATCCCCAGCCAGGGAGACTTTCACGTTCCTAACCCCTAGAAAGGATCCTGGCCAGCCATAACTCAAGCCCTGGACAGCCGGTCTAAACAGACTAACTGCTTGGTCCCCTCACGGTCAAGTCCGTGGGATGTGTGGGTGCATCAAAGAGTAAGGGTACTTACTGATGCACAGAGCCAGGCTGGGGGCCCCTCGGGGACCAAGGAGGGCAGGAAGGAGAAGGGGTGAGCCATCAGGTCACATACTGGGACCCGGGGTTGGAGCAGAAATATGTTTTTCCTGGTCAGCTCATGGGACACTTGGCTTTGCTACCACACAATGGGACAGGAAGTCAGCCCTGTCCTGAGATAAGGGGATTGGTGGGGGTGGGGGTGGGGATTGTGACACAGCCCACATGGTTTGAGCAAGTTCATCTGACTCTGTCACGGGAGAGCAGGGACAACTAGACTCCTCTGGACAAACTAGCAACTTTGTGGCAGTGGCAAAGTCCTGCCTGCCCTGGGCTGCTGGGGGTCTCCCACAGCACCCGTCCCCCTGCCCTCGACTTTCTCGTACCTATTTCAAGAAGGCCCCCTGAGACGGGAGATACCATGGTCATGCCAAGGGCACCAGGCTCAGGAGGCCCACTGGGGGCCCAGGGACTCTCCTGAAGTCACAACAGAAAACAGGACCCCTCCCACTATACACTCAATCTCACTCCCCAAGCCGTCCCCCACCTAGGCAGCCAGCCTGGCTCTGTCTAGGGCAGGATTTCCTGAGTCTCTGGTGGCCGATGGCTCCAGTCTTTTGTCCCCAGCCCTAATGGCTGGGCCGGTGTCCACCTGAGAGTCAGGTGCGACTGGCTGTTTTGGAACAGGTGAGGCCATCAAGGCCTTCTGCACGGGCTGGGACCATTCCCAGGGCACTTGAAAGGTCTTTTCCTAAACAGGGAGTCAGGGCGGTGCGCAGGACCGAGGGTCTCTGAACCCGTCCCACGTCAGCACCGGTCTGCACTCACCCGCCCGAGTTTCTCCAGCTGGGTCTCCCGGGACGGACGCCGCCGTCACTCGCTCACAGCGGACCAAGCGCGGAGCTGCTGGCACTTGGGGCACCAGGCGGGCTGCAGCCGGCTGCGAGGGGCGGGGGCAGGCGGAG